TCAGAATTTATATAGTCAAATATAAGAGATTGGTGCTACAGTTCACAAGCAAGGAGAACATACATCGCTTGCTTTTCTGTATTTGTGTTACTTCTCTTATTATAACACTCTCTAGCTCCATCCATTTATCTGCAAATTTCATAATTTCATCTTTTCTTACTGCTGAGTAGAACTCCATTGAGTAGATGTACCACATTTTTATTAACTATTTGTCAGTTCAGGGACATTTAAGTTGTTTCCATTTCTTAGCTATTGTGAAGAGAGCAGCATGAAACATGGATGTACACGTATCTCTACAGTAGGATGAGTGCTTTGGGTATATGCCAAGGAGTGGTTCCACTGGATCATATGGTAGGTTCATTTCTAGTTTTTTGAGGGTTCTCCACACTGCTTTCCATAGTGGTTGCACGAGTTTGCATTCCCACCAGCAGTGAGTGTTCCTCTTTCTCCACACCCTCTCCAGTATTTGAAGTCTTTCATTCTCTTAACCTTGGCCAATCTGACTGGGTAAGATGAAACATTAAAGTGACTTTGATTTGCATTTCTCTAATTACTAAAGATGTTGAGCACTTTTTAAGGTGCTTCTTAGCCATTTAATTTTCAATTTGAGAACTCTGTTCAGGCCTATCTCCCATCTTTTTATTGGGTTGCGCATTTTCTTATTTCTTTGGAATTTTTTTTGAGTTCTTTGTATATTCTGGATATTAATCCTCTGTCAGATGTGTATCTGGTGAAGATTTTCTCCCACTCTGTGGGTTTCCTCTTCCCTTCCTTAGTTGTTTCTTTTGCTGTGCAGAAACTGTAATTTAATGAGGTCCCATGTATTGATTGTTGATGTTAGTGTCTGAGCAGCTGGTGTCTGGTTTAGAAAGTCCTTTCCTATGCCTATATCTTGGAGGATTCTCCCCATGTTGTCTTCTAGCAGTTTCAGAGTTTCAGGTTTTATATTGAGGTCTTTGATCCATTTGGAGATGACTTTTGTACAGGGTGAAAGATGAGGGTCAAGTTGCATTTTTCTGCAGGTGGAGATCCAGTTTTGCCAGCACCATTTGTTGAAGATGCTATCTTTCCTCCATTGTGTGTTCTTAGCACCTTTGTCAAATATCAGGTGGCTGAAATTATATGAATTTATGTTTGGGTCTTCTATTTTGTTTCATTGATCTACATTGCCTATTTTTGTGCCAGTACCATGCTGTGTTTAAGACTATAGCTCTGTAATATAATTTGAGATCTGGTATGGTGATCCCCCCAACATTGTTCTTTTTGCCCAAGATTGTTTTGACTATCCAAGCTCTTTTGTGATTCCATATGAATTTTAGGATTATTTTGTCAAGCTCTGTGAAGAATGTCATGGATATTTTGATTGGGATTGCATTGAATCTACAAATTGCTTTTGGTAAGGTGGTCATTTTCACAATATTGATTCTACCAATCCATGAGCATGGGAGGTCGTTCCATCTCCTAGTGTCTTCCTCTATCTCTTTCTTTAGAGTTTTGAAATTTTCATTGTAGAGATCTTTAATGTCTTTGGTTAGGTATATTCCCATATAGCCTGGTCTTTTAATGGGTGCTAGGGATACAATCTTAGCTTTTCATGCTTGCATAGCAAGCACTTCACCAACTGAGCTATCTCTCCAGACCTTACTATACCTTTAACAGTAGTTCTAAAAATAAGACTTTGGAACACTCACCAAAATTCAATAGTGATCATATTAAGCAAGTTCATTTGCTATAAAGGAAAAGCCATGTTTCTGCCTTCTCCTCCTATGTATACATAAAAATCAAAGCCAGAGTTGGGAAAATGGCTCAGTGTTAAAGGGATTATAAGCATGAGGATCTGAGTTTTGATCCCCAGCACCCACATAAAAATACAAGCATAACATACACCTATAATCCCAGCTAGCACTTGAGAGGTGGAGACAGGCAGATCCCAAGAGCTGCCTTGTCAGGAAGCCTGGCAAAATCAATGAGCTCCAGATTCAGTAAGCGATCTTATTTCAAAAAATAAGGTAGAAGATAGGCATGATAGCCCACACTTTTTTTTTTTTTTTTTTTTTTTTTTTTTTTTGAAAAAAAAAAAAAAAAAAAAAGAGGACGATAAATCTTTCACTGTGATATATCAAAATAA